AGAGAGAGAGAGAGAAACTCAATTGACGATGCTACGAATCTGACTGTGCCAGAAAATAATAATAATATGCGCAGAAAAGTATTGTTTAGATCTTGTATGCGTTTTAGCATGTATCTTTCGAACTTCCGCTCGCCTGTTAATAAACTGATGATAGATTACGTCATTTTTATTTTAAGCCATGGCGCTAGAACTATTTTTATTAACGTCCAAACGTGAAATGAGCGTTAATAAAAATCATTGATCGTTCAGTCGATTTTCCAAGATCTTAGCATCGTTTGTAGCTTTGTGATTCCTGCGTAAAGTACAGACATAGTGAGTAGGATGATTATCGCGTAGGCTGCATATCTCTCAATAAGAAATTGACGATTCATAAAAATGTGAATATGAAGTGTTGTCTCTTGTATATGCCGGTATTTCCCCATAGATTTTAGTATATCGGATGTAGTGTAGCTGTAGCAGATCTATCTAACACAAGAAGGTGGATCTTTCCTAATGCGTGTATGCTTTCTACATCTAAGACTGAAACTAATATTGCGTGGTGCATGCGCTAAATACGATCTTTTTTCTCCCATTTATGAATTTCGAATTTACGATTATATTTCTAGAAGTCCTTTTTCTTTACTACTTGCTTGAAGGGAAGAAAGCGTGCCCGCGCAATTCTGAGAGGAATAAAGACGTATCTGCGGCGGTGTTTAATTATTCATCACTTGGAAATTGATAGAGCTTAAAAATTATTTATATTATTTGTGTAATTGGTGCAAATATTGGAAGCTGATATTTATCAATCACGAATGTGCATTGTAAATTCGATGTAAAATCTCGTCGCGTTTCTTTTTGTAAGGAAAATGTTTTTGTAGAAAAGACAAAATGAATTTGTTTAAAATAAAATCAATTTGTCCATAAATTCTACTCGAAAGTCTCATCATACTTCGTCGAATTCATCAATATCAATTGATCCAATTTTATTTTTGTTCCAGGAACGAGCAGTTTTTGGACAAAAATATATCTCCTCCTCTCTCACATACCACACACGTGCTGTCAAGCGATCTGTCAAACTGCGCGCACGATCAGCTGATTTCGGAACGCATCTGCTGCGCGGAGAGAGAACTGAGAAAAAGCTGAGGAAAAACGTCTATAACCTAAACTGTCCTGTAAAAATGAAAGAGTAGCTTTTATCCGCTACTGTCCATCGCTAATTCGATCTATCACTGAATTCCAGACGCATTTTGCAATGAATAGTGGCAATTAGGAGTAGTCGTTTCCTTTTTTTCCTCTCGCAGTTTGCGCGGAAAGCGTTGACAAAGTCGGTATGTATTTTATGTTCAAATTCCCTCTTTATTTTGAAACTAAATCGAAATATTTTTCGCGATAGAAATGGTAGAGAACGGTCTCTATTTAGCTACATTTTAAAAAAACCCAGTTTCTTCGAGTATGTTTTAAATTACATATATAAGTGTAGCAAATGCTTTTGTGCTACGCAAAATTTCTTGGTGTGAACGTCATTAAGGATATTTTAACGGTAATGTGACGCAATAATGTCTTCGAGAATTGCTTTGTCAAAATTTTAACTTACGGTGCGAGGGACAAGTAAAATTACCATAGTTTATCGTATATCAAATAAACATTGTGATAGCAAGCATTATTTTTGTAAGAAAATGTGACATACATAAATGTGACATCTTTATCTCTTCTCTCTTGGTATGTGTGTTGTGTAGAAGATGGTAGATATAAAGAGCAACCCTCCCATCGTAGGAGAAAATGATTCACATTACGAGTCTAGAATACGAGCGAACAGTTCTGGTACGGGAACATCAACACCATCATCTTCGTCCGACTACATGACAGGAGAAGCGGATGACAGCTCTGACAGCAAGGGAACTATACCGTTCAGTTTGAAATCAGTGGAGAACATGCTCTCATTATCTAAGGTATAGAACAGTACATCTGAATTTAATTATTTATATTCAAATAAAATTTATTTTAATTGGAAGTAGATAGTTGATGAAAGAATGAAGAAATTATTAAAATTAAAAGAAATCAACTGAAGAACAGCTAAATTGAATAACTGCTCGAATAATTTGTTCCACAGTATTATTTTGTTACATATAAATATCAAAATTAATGCTTATTTTTTTTATAGGATGCGTCTCAGGAGGATCTTCAAGAAATGGTACACAAATGCAAGCTGATGGTGTTGGAGAGTGCCGAGTGCTCGGATGAGCGCAAATGGCTAGTTCGACGGTTGATTGAGTTGCGTTTGCGAGTGCAAGAACTGCGCGAGACCTCGGACGAGAATCTTTTCGAGACACGTGTGATTCTAGGTCATCATTTTGTACCACAGAAGTACTATATCACTACATCTACTCCAGTTTACTGCGACCATTGCAGTGGGGCAATCTGGACGATGCTACAGTCCTGGTACATGTGTAGCGGTAAATGTCAAATGATATTCCAATATAATTTTGACGGACTTGTGCATTATTATATATCGTAACATGATTTCTAATCGGTTTAATTGATATTCGATTTTATTGATAAGCATTATTACATTATAAATGTGTTGTTTTTCAGACTGTAAATTTAGTTGCCATTGGAAGTGTTTAAACAGTGTGTGCCGTGTATGCGTGCATGTAGTCGCCAGTGAAGCTGGTGGATACACGCATACGAAGGACATTTGCCCGGAACAAGGCCTTTCAAAGCAAAGTTATCGTTGCGCAGAATGCAAAGTGCGAATAACATTCAGTAAGTATACAATTAAGATTAGAGAAAGAGAAGAAAGAGACAGTAGTCATCTTATTAATTGTGTGAATAAGTAGATCAAATGAATTGTTTGTTTCATTTGTTTTATGTTGTCTTGTTATTTCCTTCTTTGATAATTGAGTTAAAATATCCTATGATAATGATGATAAATTATCCTCTTGCAAGCTTTCTCGAAAGGATTATCACTATCTTGCTTCGGCAGTTCCTTTAAAAATGCAGGTATTTAATATGTAATATATATATATATATTAATAACAAAGCATCATTAACATCTCAATGCAAAGAGCTTATATCTCCCATTTCTATTTATTGCTTTGTTACATGTAAGTGTACTAGGATATTTTAAGATAGCTTTTTGCGCCTTCCACAACATTTTTATGAGTATGAAATTATAAGAATTTTTTTTACAAGAATTTCTGATTATATACAATTATATACAATTTGATAATGAAAACAGTAACATTTCTAGAATCAGCATGGATAGAGCCGCGACTTTGTGACTACAGTGGTCTATATTACTGTCAGAGATGCCATTGGAACACAGCTATGGTTATTCCCGCAAGAGTGGTCAGAAACTGGGACATGGAGCCGCGTTTGGTATCTCGCGCTGCAGCACAGCTTTTGATGCTCTTGGAAGATCGTTCCGTATTACCTTTAGAAGAATTAAATCCGAAACTTTTTACTTTGGTTCCTGATCTATCGCTTGTAAAGGTAAAGATCATTATTGAGACAAATATTAGATTAAAAAACATTTTTAAATTATCAAATATAAAATATACATTATATATTAAATTTTTTTATGTAAGTTTTTTAAATTACATAGTTTTATTATAATTTAAAATAAAATCTCAATCTTTTATAAAGATAAAGATTAAATTTACATGACTGACAACTTTATTAATTAAACTATATTAAACTAATTGATAATATTATATATGTAGACTAAGGTACGTAAATATTAAATTTTAGCGGATGCGAGAGGAAATGCAGATGATGAAAAGATATCTAGTTTTATGCATGGAAGCTTGCACTCAAGGATTACCGTGGAAGATTGGATTACGCACACATATGATCGAAAATTCAAGTAATTATTCTATCAAGGACCTCATCGATCTTCAGAGTGGCATTCTTTTGGACGAGCTTCGTGCTGCGTATGACACGATGCATGCACATATTACGCAGCATTGCGAGCTCTGCAAGGCAAGGTAAATATTTAACCAGAGAAAGGATACATTCTTTTGATATTTATGTAACTCAGTTCTTATGTCCAAATTAATATGTCAAAGTCTTTCATCATTTTTCATTCAACTTAATACGTAGAATGATATATGTGGAATTTTGTACGTTATAATATGTTGAATGTTTCCAAACTTTTGAGAATTCTAATTAGAATTAGAACTTTACTTAGATACTTTTTTCCGAATTTTATATGATTGTCTTTATGTCAATCTTTTATATATTTTAAATTATTGTAATTTGAATTATAATTATTATTTATCAGTCCCGTATTATTTTTGTTAATGTTAATTTTTGTTAAATAATTTGTACATATGTACATGTAATTAAAATAAGAATGATAGGCAAGAAAATTCTATTTGCAACTAAAAATAAAATTCAAATAAGTAAATTTACGATGTCTTTCAGAGGACACCTATGCGAAATATGCGGCAATGATGAGATTATTTATCCATGGGATGCGAGCTCAGTTATCTGTCAACATTGTTCGGCAGTGCATCATCGCGTTTGTTGGGCTAAACGTAATCATTGTTGCCCACGGTGCGCACGTTTGCAGAAACGTCGTGCTTTACAAGGACAAACAGCGCAGGAAGGCGAAGATTGTGATACGGACGATACCGCAAAGGAATCCTAAACGAAAATGCGAGCATGTGCGGTAAAATATTATTTGTACAGCTGTGTAACGATTTATATCTTTGTACCTGTTATTTTTTTAAGCGGATCAAATCGCTTGCAGGCTGTAATTTTTATATTATCATACATGTTAAGGGTTGTATAGCGTTTCTCTAATTGTGAATGTATATGTATCAAGTGAAGTTTTATAACGCACGGTCTAATCAGTGAGATTATACAGGTGATATCTATTAATCACATTTTTTTAATTATTGTGCAAATTTGGTACATAATGCGTAAAGTGCCACAAATACAGGTGTAACACCATACTCATTCATTAAACTCTACGAAGGAGCAATTAATTGCAATATTACATTCAAAAGAATGTTTATTAATAATAAATCTTCTGTCACACTATGCACATATGTAACACGTATTATTCTACAAATGCCATAATGAATTAACAGATAAATAGAGAAAAAAAGAAGGCAAGCAAATGTGGTTCATGCAAAATTGGCTAATTGTCGATGCGCATCACAATTTAGTTGAGTGTACTGTATTTTTGTCATATATTACACAATTGAATGTCAATCGCGAATTTTTATCTCTATTGTCTACATAGATAATACCGCGTGATATATGTACTAGCAGAATTTTCCTTGGCCACGCCCTTGACATTTACACAAGTGTTAAGTGACAAATTTAATACTATTCAACTCTTCGGGTTGTTTAATCCTGCGCGTTTCCGTCTGCGTTTTGATAGAAAAAGATATCGCCGGTATTTAAGTGAAGTGAAGTTCGATGCCAACTCGCATCTTCAGTCAGTTAAGCCAGGTAAGCAGACGTGTTATGTCGCGAAATATTTCACGTTATAGATAAATGAATTACGAACGGATCCTTGCTAAGGATTTATCGAAACTCGTTTATCTATTACTCTATTATGTTTGTACTAACTTGAATAAATTTCATCATGTTGTTATTTTTTTAATTACTATTAGATTTTAACGAAAAATCTGTATATTTTGTATTGAATTTTTTTTTCTGATATACATAATTTTCGTATTGAATCTAGTTTTAATTGTTTTTTAATATTATTAATATTATGTCTTTCATTTATAATGTAATTAATGAAATGTAAGTAATCTTATTTTTATAATTAAATTATTAAAGTTGTTTAAGAATTATTTACTTCGACTAAAATAAAAATTTTCTGTAAAGGATAAACTTTTTTCAGAAACGATGTATTGTTTTTTATTATATAGATAAAATTTTTATTAGGTTTTTTTTCCTATGCTGTTTCTTGTTCTATAAAAAAAAGATATCAGTATGTAAAGTGTAGACTTTTTTGAATATGCAATTTGCACATTAAGTTCGGCGAATTTGCAGCATTACAAAAGACATAACGAAGTTGACAATGAATTTATATTAATATTTTTTCTTTTTTTTAAGATATTGAGTCATGTAGATAATTTTTTTTATTATAATGACATTATTGTGATTTCTGTCTATTAAAGGTAAAGACCTTTGTATTCGGTTCAGTAAAACTACAACTTTGTTGCAAATTATTTCATTGATAATGAATTACATTAATTATATTAATAACATTGATATTTTTTTTATTTTTAGAGAAATATATTCTTATAAAAAAATTGGAAAAGTTTTATATTTGTATATATCAGGGAATATTTCCATTTGTGAGATAATGATCTACAATTATCTTAGTATAAAAAATTGAAACCGATAGATAAGTTGCTTATTTCAATCTTGAATTTATTTTCCTCACCTTGATATTTATTTATGATTCACGATGTATGCATTGTATTTCTTAAAAAAATCTTTTCCCACTATCCTGTCATTATTTATTCCAGGTGAACAGTTGGCGCAATGTCGCGTGTGTTCGTTTGTCTCTCCATACTCTTCATTCTCGGCATCGGCATTCGATTCAGCGATTGTGAAAGTGCTGAAAATATCAAGAATAATACCGAATGTGAAGATGTAAATATCAAACCTGGTTCCGATGAAACTCATTTATCTCCACTTGAAAAGAGTATAAAGGGGCTGATGTTCCCGTTCGGTATTATAAGACGTAATATCTTTGGAAAGAACAACGAGGCCTCGCAATCAAAAATCGGAGGATCTTTTGGTAGCATCTTAGAAAAATTTAGTGACTATGTTCATGCTATCGCTCCAGGTAACTGATTATCTACATTTTAAAAAATAGATATAAAAAATGAATATTTTAGGAAAATGTTTGTAAGAATGCATATTTAAATATACAGAATATTTAAGATTACATAGAATAAATATTCTATAATAGTAGAGAAAAAATGTATTAAATATTTACAGAAGAATATTGATAGAGTATTTTAAATACTTTATTATTACAGAATTTATTTTTAATATTTTTTACTCACCTTTTAGTACTCTCCTTTAGTACTCTTATTAAAAAATATGAGCAAATTAAATATTTTATATGAAAGAATTAATGAAAGAAGTGATAGAAAATTTGCGAAATATTTGCGAATATTTGCGAAATTTTGAAGATATTCAAGATAAGATATTGATTTTAAAATAGTTTTATTTATATGCAAATAAATTACACATAATTGATTTCAATATTTTTTTTATGATGATTAATGAGTTTATAATAGAAATAATCAGAAAATAATTGAAAACGCAATTGGAGATAAAAACATGTTCTTGTGAACATTTGCGAATTATGAAAAATGAGTTGACTTCACATATAAGATATATATTGTATTAATTATGTATAGATAATTATATATAAACTTATTATCTGGTTAATTAAAAATCTTTCTTAAAAATCAATGATTTTTAATTGACGTTAAATAATTATACATGTTATCTTGAATTTGCACAATTAATATAACTATTATTTTCACAAGTGTTACTTTGCAGAATATTGATAAAAAGATTTGTTGCTATTAAAAAATTATAACATGTACAAATATGTCTTTAAGTTTGTCAACTTAAAGTTTTATTCGGATAATGCCGAGAGATAAAATTTGTTTAATGATATCCAGTAGATTAATCTGTTTAATGATATGTTTAATAATTATTGAAGAAATTTTACATATAATAACAGATTTTTAATGTCCTACAAAAATTTAATTAATCAGATAATATATTTTTGTATAATTATATATTTATATATAATTAATTCATAAATATACTAATCTCTCGAGAAATAAAATGTAAATGATATATATATATATTTTATGTAATTTGCAAATAAAAGTTAAGTGTGTTTTGTTTTAATATTTCATTAATTTTGTGAAGTAACGAGATGACATCGAATAATTAACTCGCTTATAAAATGCAAATTTCTGCTAAGAAAACGAAACTGTTTATAAAGTATAAGAGAGAAAAAAACTTGAATTTAAAGTTTTATCTAGAGAAAATTATAGTATTGTTTTAAAAATTTTTTATACAAAATTGGTTTAGATAAAATAAATATTAATTAAGAAAGAATTATAAATGCTTCAAGAAACATACTTTCCATTATTGCATACGTTGTGCAATCGAGAAGAGCCATCGCTCTGTAAATCATTGCAAAGGTTTGTCGGAAAATTCCGCAATAAAAATACGTTAGACGAAACTATCAGTTGCTACTGTATTCAAGGATTTTATTCTAGGAAATCTTCTCTTTTCACTGTGCGAATATTACCGTAAATTTAATAAGACGTATATGTAAATTTCCGTAGTGCATGAGAAGATTTTCAGCTGACTAGATAATGCGACTAGATAATGAGTTAATAAGTCTGTACTCAGTGCTTTTTAATTTATTCTTTTTTTGTCATATATACATATGCATATATACATACATATATATTTATGCATATGTATATATGCAAAAGTGTAATATCATAAATGTACTGCACACACACACACACACACACACACACACACACACACACACACACACACAC